TTCCATTCTTGAAATGTATTAAACAACTAAGTTCATAATTAGCAAAAAGTGATCAAAAATATATAAGAATAATTAATAATTAATAATTAACAATTAATAATTCTACATTACAATAACTAAGCAAAAAGCATAACATTAGGAAGCATGTTAATCAACATAAGCGATCTCCGGTCCCTCATGGCCGCTGGATGGATCCACAGTGACTGCTATTTACAGACCGACCCAATGAAGGTGAATCAACGAGCTGATGAAAGTAAATTCATTATTTCAGCAACTGGACTAATCATGCGGTTTCCTTTCGAGAGCCCAGCATCTTGAGAACTTCCTTCCTCATGGCTCTGTTCATGACACCATAAATTATTGGGTTAATCCATGAGCTGGCAAAAGCGAACATCGGATAAATAGTAAACGCAAAAGGAGGAAGCGGTAGATGAAGACCCTTATTCAAAACGCCAATGATATTCGTGGGAAGCCAGCAAATAGAAAATCCGACGACTGCTGCGAAAAGAACACGGGAAGTTCGGATTTCTTCGGCACGATTCGACGCATTACTCGGATTGCTTTGTAACGAAGGTACAACAGCATTGTTATGCCTTCTGACAGCTATAAACACATTGTTGTAACAATAACTGATAAAAGACATCGGTAAGGTCACATAAAAACCCAGAAATGAGAAACACATAATGTTCTCGTTCCGGTTGGTAGTCGAATTGGACGAGCAATATAAACTGTTTGGGTGCCAAATGTAGATAACTGGGAGAGTAAATGTCGCTAGGAGACCAGAGGCCAGTGTGAAAATAACGACGAAGACGATGGATATAACAGCTTTCTTTTTGGTGAAGAGAAAGTGATAACGTTGAGGTCTCACAACGCAAAAATATCGATTAATTGCTGTTAATACCAGAATGTAGATTGACACACCACCCCAGACATATGTGATGTAGCCGTGAAATTGGGCAAAATTGTGATTAAAAGGCCACTCTCGCAAAACCGAAGCGATAACAGAGAAGGGGAAAACGACAGTTGCTATGAAGATGTCTCCTATTGCTAAAGCCAACACGTAGAGGTTGGTGACAGTCCATAGCCTTCTGTTACGGTACAGAGCCAAACAGACGAATGAGTTTCCAATTGTGGTCATGCATATGTACAGCACCAGTAGGCAAGTGGTAGCAGCCACTGCAGCTTGGCTTCGAGTATCAAGTTTTGTTTGAATCATTCTCTTAACAGGTCCTGAACCTAGCTAAGGCTAGCTGTATCAGTCTGAAAATGAATGGTATATCTCGATAAAAATGAAACACTCCTATCGGACAAACTCGTAAATGCGATCTGTGCTGGAGGTGCGGAAAGGTAGGCCCCCTACAATGTACGTTGAGCACCTTAAATAATTATTATACATCCGACTGAAAATTAATCTTAATATGGCTTATTGACATAAGGCCTTTGAGAACCAACACTGCAATTATTATATCTTACAATAAAATTTTTAACTGTTGTTTCAATTTCACACTGAGAGAAAATTAGTGTTCACGTATTTCAATAAAATCCCACTGGGTTTGACATGAGTAATTCACTGCCTCCATACTGTGAAGCTGAAGAGGAGCAAAAATAGCAAAAAAGCATATCTGGATAGGAACTTTGATCTTTGTCTTATAAAGTGCCACTGAAACGAAATTTTCGTACTCTCCTTTATTAACCCAATTTGTAGTTTCAAACGTGCTTAAAATAATGGTGAACTTTATTTCTGTCAAATCCTAACGGAAAGTGCTTTTTTTAGCTGCTGAAATCGACTTTT